AAAAAACAAACAAACAAACATTGTTTTGAAAAGATACATGCACTCCAATGTTCTTAGCAGCAATATCTACTATAGGCAAGATATGGAAGCAACCTAAGTGTCCATCAACAGATAAATAGATAAAGAAGATGTGGTGTGTGTGTATCTCCTGGGAGAGGGAAGGGGGCGGAGCGAGATAGGGGTAGGGGATTAAGAAATATAAACTACTATGTATAAAATAAATAAGCTACAGGATATATTATATCCTGTATATAATATATATATATATATCCTGTATATAATATATATATTATATACAGGATATATATAATCCTGTATATAATATATAATCCTGTATCCGATATATATATAATATATATATTATATTTATAGCACAGGGACTATAGCTTATGTTTTGTAATAACTTTAAATGAAGTATAACCTTTAAAAATTGTGAATCGCTATGCTGTACACCTGAAACATATAATATTATACAACTATAGCTCAATAAAAAAATAAATTTTAAAAATTAAAAAAAAATTTTTAACTATACTACAAATGAAATTCCTTCATTTCTGTAAAGTCCTCTCATAAATTGCTGGGTAAAGTATGTAGGATAAAGATAAGAGAGGATTCATTTCATTTTTATATTTGTTTTACTTATTGTGCTCCCTGTATGGTTTCATCTTTAAAAAAAAGAGAGCGATCCTATAGGTGGTAGAACTGTCTCAGACTAACCAATAGTACTTAGAGAATAATCACTCTTAACAACAGTGCACTTAAGCAGCCGAAACGTAGGACACACCTGTGGCCAATCTTCCAAAAAGTGTGATGACCTTCCAGAGTAGAACTAGTTAAAAATTTGGGATTCAGAACTGCTGACTGAACTTTCTAGATCATTCAGAAAGTCATTTTGACCATTCATTTTATTCCTGGGATGAAAAGACCTAGGAATAAGCATCACCTTAACCTACATGTTTATTTCATCAGTTAAATTTAATAAAGAGAGTCAAAACAGGAATAAAAAGCCCAAGAACATCTGTCAGTCTAAATTTTCTAACTCATTTTTTCCTCTGAGGAAACTATGCCCTCTAAAACCTTGTCATTAACAGTTCTAAATATAGACTGTGAGGGAATGCTTATCTGACTATTGGCTTTGTGCTATATCTAAGTGGAAGGAAAGTCAAAGTCATGGCACCAGCTTAACCAACAAGAAAATCCACCCTGTTTGAGGGAAGCAGACATAGCTTAGAAAGCTAATCAAACTAATCAGTAAGAAATGTATGTCTATATTAGCAGTCACTCCCTATGCATTTTCCCCCCAGTTCCTGGCAACAATTAATCTATTTTCTGTCTCTGTGAATTTGCCTATTCTGTATATTTTATATAAATGGAATCATATGATTTTTTAGAAAAGAAATGTGTGTGATATTTTCCATTTTAAAAACTGACAATTATACCTTTTATTAATATTCTGATAACAGTTGTCATAAGTAAGATTTACATGGCACTTAGAAGTTTACTAAATATATTTTCACATACAATATCACATTTTTATTGTCACGGTAACCATACTGGTATTTTTAATACTCAAGCAACAGACAGATGAGGACTGAGGCTCTGAAAACCTTTGTAATTTTTCAAGATCAAACAGTGAAGACGTTCTTTGCTTTAAAAAGTACTTATCCAAAACCGGGAACACGCTTTTAGAAGTAAAGGAAGCTAACTAGTGCTAAGATCTTCTGCAATGATAATAATGTATACTTGTAAAGTAGATCACAGTGCACAAAGAATTAAAACGTTCTTTAATCAGCACTTTCTCATCGTGCTGCTGATATTCACCAATACAGTAAAATACCAGGACATATATCATCATTTTCATTTTATAGACATAGAGACTGAGGCTTAGAAAAATTTAATGATGACCTGAGCATGATCTCACTGACTACAAGATTAATGCACTAAGTCTTTCTGCCTCTTGAAACTGGAAATTGGAAGGATACAATTCTGGCTAGTGACTAATATAATGAAAAATTGTATCACCTGCATACACTATATAATTAAAGTGGAAAAAATGATTTTTTTTAAATTAAATGAAAGCTCCTCCTCTTCCAATGGGTAGTGTCGAGCTCCACAAACAGAGGGAATCATACAATTCTAAAGTGTTTAACTCTTTGTGGTAGCAATGGGGGGGGATTGTTTCATTTGTTTTGCTCCACCTTCTTTAAAACATGCTCCAGGTGGGACAGTGAGTCTTTTGAAAACCCCAGCTAAGAACAATTAAATTCTTTGGCGAGAGTAAGCAATAAGATTAGTCCTATATATAACAGTGGAAAAAATGTCTTAGAGAAGAGTAAGTCTTTCCAAAAGCAAAATTTACCAAATGAAACACTGGAAAATGTAATTCAATCAAGAAATAATATTTTCTTTCCATTTGGATTGTTGTCATTGCTTTAGTAGGTAGTGTTAATAGTTGCCAAAAGCCAATTTGTATTCATGAATGCTTTGCAAGTTCATGATGTAATACATTCCTTTTTGGATATATCTTTTGTCAAATCCATCTGTCTATGGCAGATATGCATAGTTTTACAGAACCTTATCTGCAAAAAAACTTCCACCGTCAGACAAAAACAGCTATAGAAAATAAAGAGGACGGGAGGGAAAACAGATCAACTACTGCTATTTGGAAAATGTTTCCTTTTTTCACAACGCCTTGCTCATGGATACCTGTCCACTGGACACCTGGCACACCTCTACTCTTTCTTTTCTTAATATTCTGCCCTTTCATGAAAAAGAGATGTAACCCCAGCATCTCAGGGAGAACTGAAAGATGAAGGTCCTGGAGGAAGCACCAATGCAAGATGTCAATACTCCCACCAGAAGTTCCCTGAGCCACGTTCTGAACACCTTCTGAATTGCATGAGCGGCTGATTAACGTTTGATAATTAAGCATAAGTCACTTTTTATTTGATTCATCTCAATAAGAGCTCAAGCAAGTTAATGCTATAAAGAATGAGGGCACAAAAAGCTGGAAGGGAATGTGAATGCTATACCGAGAAAGCTACACTGACCCTATGGCAAGAAAAGGAGCCGGCTTAGAGGTCAGAAACTAGTTCAGAGAAAGCAGTTTCCACCCTTACCATTTCTCACTGTAGGTGGGTCCTGAACCACCTGGAGGGGCGAGATGATAGTCCCTCAACAGATGCACTACTTTCTTCCACTGTTAGAGTCAGTTAGGAATGTAGAAGAGTGAACGTCAACTATTACTATTAGCGTCTACAGCCACAGAAACCCAATAAATGAACTCACTATACTATCACGATAAAGAAGCTTATACTGTTTCTTCACAAAGTAAATGTATTTCTGAAAGAATGTATTAGAATTATACTTTTTAAAACTATTTCACATACACTTGGCTGATACAGAAAAGGATTCTATGTTCATTATTTTTCTCTTCTTTTACAAACCTCATCCATTGCTGTGACCTAAAAGGGGTCATATTTTAGAGGGCAAAAATATTTTAATAACAAAACTTTGCACTTCAGTGTGACCAAAACATAAAATTTTGCAAAAAACACAACTACTATTTCTTTCCTACTGACTAAATCATGTCATTTAAATGCGTGCAACCAAAAATAAACCACTCTTGGGTATAAAAATAATATTTTTATAGGAATTGGCAAGTAACTACTCTAGCTATTAGAAGTTTATATTTGCCCCAGAAACCTGTGATTTTAAAAACTGTTCAAATGATTTATGCTTGAGGCTTATACATAGCACAAATATATACATTTGTATCTCTAAGTCTAAAGAGGAAAAATTAGACAGAAAGTAAACTGGAAAACAACCCCAAATTATAAGAAATTCCCTAACTTTGTGCTGTATTGAGAAAAAGTATAAAAATGATTTGGGAGGAAGAAAAATTATTTATTTTTACACATTAACTTCATAGACAAAAGCCCGATTTTTTTATGATAGGTTAGGATAAAATCAATCATGTTTTCAAAGTAAAAAGTGAACTGCTTCCACTCACCAGTCTACACTCGTATTAATTCTATCCTGCAGTGCATGCTATAGAGGGTAAAAACATGCTGATGTTTTCTAGTTGCTCAGTTCAGTCTGCTCCGGCTTTATCTTCAACCTGGTTAGCAACAGAAGCCACCACCAGCAATTACACAAACCTAACAACGGCTTCCTTGGGATTTGATCCGTTCCTACCACACGTCCCAATCCACATGCTTTCTTCTGTTACCACTGTTGTCTGTGTGTGTTTGATGTGCTTCTTAAAAGGCTTTTTAAAAAACAACCTAGGGATTTCTCATTCAGCTCCCTACCACATAAACAGGACCACTGAGGATCATTTTTATACATGTAAAAATGTTCTAGTTATCCATAGACTATGTCTCAGTACAGCTTCAGATGACTGCAAAGAAAAGCTCTGTTGTCATTTCATACTTCTCCTCTTTCTGTGCTCTAACTGCTGTGTACCTGTGTCCCAAAAGGACTGCCTGCCACGAGCTGCTCCTTCCCAGCTATGGATGGCAGGGGTGGGAAACCTTGAAACTTGCCCGACTCGAGGGCTCTCAGCCGTTGCTTTGACACCAGCAATCTGTTTAACCTGTTGGACCTTTATCACTTTTCCTGACCCCATAAAACAAACAGGGCTAGCAAAGGCACTGAAGAGCCTCCTTCAAAAGGCAGCTTGCCTGTGAGTCATGGCAAAAAGCTGGAATGACCCTGCCAGGTCTTAGAAGCTTTAAGATTAACTGCATTGAACTTGATACATAGAAAACAGCACCTTGAAAATGAATCATCTGCTACTTCAGTATTTTCTAATTGCAATCACTCCCTCTCGGGGCATGTAATTAATTTACGGAGTTTAAAAAAAAGAAGTCAGGATTACTCACACAGTCTTGAAGATGCAATGTCAGCTATTTAGGACTGAAACATCCAAGGCCGTGTTAGAACTCAATTACGACTACATATGCGTTAAAGCAGGAACTGGCAGGCCTCTGGACCACAGCAACTATAGGACTCGGGCTTCTCGTACGCTGGGCTATAATTTATGAAACTGAGCCCCAGATCCAGCCAATCATTTAGCTCCTCATAACAAGTCTAACTGGCTCTGGAAGGCTGAAAGGGCTGCACTAGAACAACAAAGATGAGATATTCCACATAACACTCAGCTGATCTGGAATCACTTTCTTTGCAGGGCCAGAGAAAAATCACCACTTCACTGTCTGAGGGAAGCAGGACAGAGGACCTGAGAAATGCGACCTCACCCCGGAGCAAGATCTTTTATGGTTTGGCAATCCCAACAGTGCTGGCCTTAAAGATCCCACCTACCGCTGGAACCCGGAGGGCAACTATAGCAGCAAAAACCCGAAGGTAATTTTCATCTTTCTTTTTATTTTTAGTAGGAGTAATGCTGAGTCAAAATGATATACATTAAGTCACTTGGGCAACTAGGTATGCTTTGATTTTATGTTACCTTTTTGTACTCTCATCTATTGTAGGATCATTTGCTATTAAGTATGAGTAGAGGGTGGCTTAATGTACCTGAAATAAACTTAAAACCAAAATGACCATTTGCGGAGGAAGAGAGATCCTTTGCCAGAACTGTTTTTGAGCTGCCTTTTCAGACAGGCAGCCTTTTCACCCACCCACAGAAACAAGAATAAAGGCAGCTCAGGCAGGGAGAGGAAAGGGGTTTCATGGGTACAATTAAGTGCTTTTAGTGTCTTAAAAGGAATAACGGTGCTCAGGAAGACGCGGTATTGTTCTGACCCTTGGCACTTAGGCCATATGAGAAGGTACTAGGATGCACCTTGGTAGGGTCGTTGGGGCAGAGAATAACATCAGCGCAAGTTGGCAGAGCCCCCGTGGCCCAGGTTTCTGTTTTCTTGGCACTAGTTTCCTTATTTCCCATTACATTTTGAAGTGTTAGTTATGCCAACAGCTTGTTATACCATACTGCCAAATGTGTAGTTATTACTGGATCTGTGGCAAACATTTTAAGTCAAAAGAGATAACGGAAAGAGAAACTCAAAAAAGAAAGTAATGGAACTGACATACAGGTAGCCCAACACCACACCCTCAGATACTCAGCATGCTTTACCTAATGACAAATCCTTCCATATCCTCAGCAAATGGTGTGTTTCTTCAACCAATTTTGTAGCAAGTGTGACATTAGCTCCAAAAATTCACTGTAATAAACTTTTAAATAATGAAATCAATCGTTATACTTTCAAGTGACAATAGAACCTCCACAGTATTAAACTCATGTCAGTTTTATATGCTCCCAAAGGAAGAAGCCAGGCAGGGAAACTTGCTTTGTTTAGTGATGAAATATAAGGAACAGTAACAGAAAAGACATTTATGCCCTTTTTGTTTGCTGTAGATAGTTGACTGAATTCAACTTGAGATTTGATCCCAAGAAGAAAAACAGAGCAGTACACAGGGAACAGAAAAAGTAATCCATTCTCAATTCCCCCAAGATTTGTTCTTTGAATTGTCCAACTTGTGACTAGCCAGGGAGGAATATTTCACTCTGTTTAAATATTTTTTATTTAATTAAATTGTTTACTTGACAATTAATATAAAATTAATTGTTTATTTGATAGTGCTGCTGCCTATGGTGACTATGTGAGAATTGAAACTTCTGAGGGAAGCCAGGTTGTTAAAACTGTGATGCCCTTTACTCAACGGTAACATGGATGATCTAGTCTGAAAGGGAAAGCAAGCTCTTAAGGTAATGTTGTCACTGAAACCTCAACACACAACACTCCCTGTTTCTCATTCCCTGAAAAATATTACATTAAAATCCCTTCAAACGCCCATGTTCAAATCTCCATTTGTCAACAGACAAGTCCAAGGATACTCTAAACTAAGGCATTTAAGTCACTTCACATGATAATTGTCCAGAAGTTTCCTGTAGGAAAACTTCATCTTTGACAACTTTGAAGATAACCATCTCACGACTCAAGACAATGGCCAACAACCATCCAGCAAGTCCTTGAGTTAGAAGCTTTCTCAGCTTCTGGAGATTGTCTGTGTCAATATAAAACTCAGTTTCCTTCTGACCCCTGGTGCCCTGACCCTTACAAACACTAAAGGTTTTGTTTGACTCAACTGCAAGCTGTTCATCTGTTAGTAAGTAATGCATGCCCGAAAACACATTCATGATGAGAGCTTTCTAAAAGACCAGCATGGGCTTCCCTTCCTATAATCGTAACAGTCATGATAGCCTGAGACATGTTACTGCTACTTGGCAATTTGGGGGGGAGGGGTAGATATTTAGTGCCTGGAGCTGTCACATAGCAGGGAAAACCCCACATTGGGATGAGGGAAGTGATGTCTCAGTACAATCCAACTTAAGGGGATTATACCATTTACATTTGATTTCAATACCTTATTAAAAAACAGTGCAATGAAGGAGGAAATTTAAAAATACACACAGATACTCTAATCGTCTTTTGCCTAAAGTTGTTAGTGCAGTGTAAAGTCAGCTAGGGGGCTTCCCTGGTGGCGCAGTGGTTGAGAGTCTGCCTGCCTGCCTGCCGATGCAGGGGACATGGGTTCATGCCCCGGTCCGGGAAGATCCCACGTGCCGCGGAGCGACTGGGCCCGTGAGCCATGGCCGCTGAGCCTGTGTGTCCGGAGCCTGTGCTCCGCAATGGGAGAGGCCACAACAGTGAGAGGCCCGCGTACCGAAAAAAAAAAAAAAAAAGTCAGCTAGGTATCACTGCCCATCAGTCAGGGCTTGTGCTAGCAGGTTCTGGGCAGAAAGACTACCTCCATCATCACCATCAATTAATATCTGTTGGCTGTTGCATCCAGCACTGAGAGGCTCGTGGTGTACAAGGGTCACCCAAACAGCTGAATTCCATTCTTACTCATTTCCTGGATCTCCACCTCACAGATAAGAATTAAGATGATCCCAATAAAAGTAGCTCAGGAATGCAAACCTCTTTCTGAACCAAGAACTGTCAGCAAATCTCAAATATCAGAGCAACTCTGGTTGACTGAAAAGTGTCCCTATATCTGGGCCAGGAAGGATTTCTAGGCCCATAAGCTAATCTGTCTGGCCCTGCAGTTTATGTGGCCAAAGGAGCTGCTCATAAGAAAACTCATAAGAAACATCCAGACCCACCATGTCAGTGTGTCAGACCAGCTGAGATTGGCGGGATGGTAACTGCACTCCAGGTGACATGGATAAATAGCCCCATTGTTTTCACAGCACTGGACGCCGCCTAAAGAAACCCTAGACCTTGGACCAGGTTGCTGGGTAGTGTGGGGGAGGACTGCTGACAGTTCAAATGCCAGCTCTTGGAGCCACTGTCTATAGTGTAAACTGAAAGAGAAGCAGTTACTTAGAAAAACGTCAGCAAGAAGGCCTGCTCACTTTAACAAAGTAAAAAAAAAAATTTTTTTTTCACTTATATAAAAAGGCATTTATATATGGTGGTCATTGCCGGGAGTAAGCTTATGTTCTTGGTTCAGATAACAAAACACATCATCTGGGCACATAGACCTCACAATCAAACTTGTTCTTGGCCCATGGGGGGAATTTTTGTGGCTGTTTTTCAGCTGTCTCCCCAAGAACATGAATGTTTGGAAATGTACTAAAAATGCATGTGACAAGATTCTAAACCATATTATACATAAAATTAACCTAAATCAACAACCTTTTGCACTCATATATAGTCAAAACTCTTCTTCTAGGTAACGAGACGTGAGCGAAAGGATATTTCTTTGGCCTTGCTGTTTGTCAGTGTTTGTCAAAAGCCATACAACAATACGGATACAAAATAGGCAATGACTTGCATTTGGAAGAGAAAACTTTGAAGGGTTGCATTCTTCATATTTGATGCTAAAACTGCCTCTTGTTTCAAGCAATGTGTAAGCATTATAGCATGGAGGTTGAGAGCATAAATTCTGAGCCAAACTGCCTGGGTTCAAATCCCAGCTGACTCTTAACTGTGGACTTGGGGCAAGTTACTTAAGAACTCTATGCCTCAGTTTCCCCATATGAAAAATGGTGCCACCCACAGTAACTACCTCCTGGGGCTGGTGTGAAGATTAAATGGGCAACACCTGCTTAGAACTGAGCCTCTTACATGGTGAACATTCATTAAAAGAAAACGATCATTTGTTTTATGATGATTATTAAGCTCATTGCAAAAAAGGTACACAATATCCAAAATGGAGGTGAATTACTAAACAGCCAGATATGGTGAAATATAGCTATTAACATTACATATTTCATTTCAGGTAATATTTATACAAGTACGATTTTTGTCTTAAGGCATCTGAGATAAAAGCTCAAGGAGGTGGGTCTGTTAACTGTCAGTTTTCTGCCTGGTTATCACTTGACATTTTCAACCCTGCCCTGCATTTACTGTGTCACACAAGGACACTAACCTAGGAAATGACACAGAAAGGAGTTATTGTGGTAGACATGATTCATATGATAGTTGGTACGAAGTTCAGGCTAGTTTAAAGATTCCTGCGTGAAGGCAAAAAAAATAATGGAAGCCATTCATTTCAGTCATGGTACCCTAACCAAAAAAAGATTTGAAGGGAGAAAAAAAAAAGAGAGAGAGAGAGAGAGAGAGAGTTACCTATCAAGAACAGCAGTGCTGATTATCTAAAGACATGAACCATGTCTAGAATTCATGCTGACTTCTCAGCTTAGATATGAGAGAACACTGGAGCTAATTATCTCCTTTCCTCCTGTGATAGGGGATTTCTCAGTTTAGGAGATTATTAACTGAAACTTCTACTTACTCACCGAGAAGGTGCAGAGAAAAAACAGTCTGCTTGTGAGGGAGCAGTCACCCTAGGGAAGGACAATAGACTTCTACACTCAGTCATTCCTGCATTCATTCATTCACTCACGAGGGGTCTTGCCCCTTATCTCCTTCCACGCCCACACAAACACCCACCAGTCACATCTCATCACTCACAGGGCCTCAGGGAGCCCACGCTCTCTGACCCTATGCTTCTGAGGATGTCCCTCTCCATCTGCATGCTGCTCCCCAGCACCTACAACTAAGACCAAGGAAAAGCCCCTCCTTCCCAGCAAACCCCTTCCTACCCACCTCCTCTGCATGGAAGGTGCTTATTCCCTGCGGGATAAATGAATGAATCAGCACCATTTACCTCATGAATTAGCAGGACAAATAATCAGTGGGAAAATTGGGGAACATTTTCAATTTAGCAAAAAAAAAAAAAAAAAAGATTTCAAAATGAAATCTAGGGTACTTTCAACAAGATCCAAAATGAAATCAAATGTTAAGGCTTAACAGTCCCGTAGACAGACCCTTCACTAGAGTTAGAGAATCATCTCTGGTCTTTCTCAACAAGTTGATAAAGAAACGCAAGGAAGCCTACCCAGGTTGCTAGAAATGATTGCATATGTGAAAGGTTTGTATGGAGTCCAGCAGGGAGTTGAATGAGCTAAACTAAGTCTCTTTATTCTAATTATCCTGCTCCTGGCAGAGGAATGCAACAGGAAGGGGGAGGTCTCAGATTCAGGGGTGGGTGATTATCTCCCCCACTCCCCTAGGCTGCATCAGCTCCAGAGTTGGACATGAAGTTTCTCTCCGGGGCCCACTTATGCCACTGAGTCCTTGCCACCTGCAGTATTGCTGCAGTCCAGGCCTGTTACTGAGGGGACAGTCACTAGGCACTGGACATTCACCAAAGACGAGGACGATGGGAAGGGCTGAAGAATTAAGAAAACAGTGTGTTGGAAGGTAACCAACAGAATTGTGACACAGGTCCAATGTGTCTTTAGGCCCTCTCCCACTTCACCTCTGCCTTGCACCTCAAAAAAAATATATATATTTTTCCTCATATATATATTTTTTCCTAATCTCCCCAGCTTCCTCCACCAAAGCGGTCCACAAAGGAGCCTGTCCTCCCCTCCCACCAAATGAATCCTCTTGGGTGCCATCCCCAGAGCCACCAGATTAAACCAGTCTGTGCCACTATGGTTAAATGTCCCTGTCATCTTGCACACGGCACTGCATTTTAATAGAGGCTTTCTAGAAATAAACTCGAGAACCAAGGAATTTACGACACTGAACACTTCAGGCCCCTTGGAGCATGACAACAAAGGCATGCAGAAGGCAGGCGGGGCTTTCTGGGCCCTGGGACCCACACCAGCATATCAGTTACCTTCTCCTCTCAGGAGTGGGCCACCGCGACACACAGCCCGGAGCCAAGGAGAACGCTGGGTTTTCACTCCTTCGGGCAAGGCCAGTTGGGCATTACACAACCCGTATAACCACTCATACAGTCATGTCTCTGTGGTCCCTGAGGCTTCCCTCTCTATTTACAGAGCACAGGCTACCATCAGTCAGGATTTCTCAATTTTTAGTCCTCCCACAATAGAGATAAATACTTGGCGTCTCAAAGCACTTTGGCTATGGGGACACATTCGTGATCACCAGTTACTAAGAGGCATAAGTCTCACAATGTCTCCCAATCCACAGGATTTTTTTTTTACTTTTTTTTTTGCCATGAGAATTTAAGCACAGACATCAGAGCAGTGGAAGGAGAGCAGACGGCACTTGTGTCCCATGTGCTTTGAAAAATAATGCAGAGGCACTTGAACTTCTTGTGCGTTGGGATTGGTGAAGGTGCTTGTTAACATGGTAGATCTTTGATCCCACCACAGGATGCTCATCTCACAGGTCTAGAATGGAGCCGAGAAATCTGCATTTTTTTATTGGTACACACACCCCCGCCCCCAGGCTTGTTAAACCAGTCATCACAGATTACCCTTGAGAAGCACTGAGATAGTGCATGCAAACCACTTAACATAAAACCTGGCATGTTACAAAGTGCTCAATACTTACTAGCTGTAATTATTAAGAGTTGGAATTGATCCCAACTTCATATACTCTACTCAGACCTAACCTTGGTTAAGTGAAAATTGCACATGGGCGTGGCAGCGTGATAGCAAGCCAGGAGCTAGTTTAGTGCAAGGAAAGAGAATGAGGGATACGGGACAGAGATAGCCTAATTTGTGTCCTTCTAGTGATCTATTAGCCTTTGATGAAAACTCTTGAGCCTCAATTACCCGCCCTCACCATTCCACAGTATCAACAGCTCTGAAAAGACAACACAGCAATGTTTGAAACAATCGTCTAGGAACCAGAAGTTCCCAAAGTAAAAACACTCAAAATATTGACACTTTCATTTTTCTGCCCCAAAGAAAGCAATACAAGGTTATTTGTTTTGTAAGACAAAGCAGGGCCCAAGTAAATAGGGCAGTTTTAAGTGGCTCAGTCCACCAACTTTAGCACAATATAGGAGAAGTAAATCCCCAACCTGACGGGCTGCTGTGCTTCTGTGAGTCTTGGCTAATTTCCTCTGCAATGATGTGGGTCTTCCACGGATGGTTGGAGCTAACTGTGTCTACTTACCGCTTGGAATCACTCCTCACAGTAAATAGGATGGCCCTTCAGGAAATCTTCTATTTAGTTTGCATGCTCCTGAGTATAGGACAAAGCTTTGTTGTTTAAGAACATAAATAACAAAATTTTTGTTCTTCCAAACCAAGAGGGAAATTGTAGAA